TGTCAAATTCTCCCTGAGTTCAATTTCCTCGGGTTCAATTATATAGGAAGGATCTGGTTGATACTTTTTCAGTTATGACACATGGAATACGTTGTGTATTCCAGCAATTTGGGGTGGTAATGCTACTTGGTACGCTACTGGTCCAACTCGTTTTAAGATCTCAAAAGGCCCCATAAACCTTGGTGTCAACTTCTTAGCCTTAATAGCTCTTCCAACACCAGTTACTGGAGAGATTTTCAAAAATACATGGTCACCTACTTCAAACTCAAGCAGTCTTCTCCTTTTATCTGCATAACTCTTTTGTCTACTTTGAGCTGTGAGTAATTTTTGCTTGATTAAAGCAATCTTTTGGGTAGTCTCATCAACAATGTTTGGCCCCAAAACAGTTCTCTCACTTAATTCTGTCCAACATAGTGGCGATCTACATTTTCTTCCATACAATGCCTCATAAGGTGCCATCTGAATGCTAGAATGAAAACTATTATTGTAGGCAAATTCAGCTAATGGCAAGTGACTATCCCAATTACCTCTAAGCTCAATGGCACAAGCTCTTAACATGTCTTCAAGAGTTTGTATGGTTCGTTCTGTTTGCCCATCGATCTGGGGGTGGTAAGCGGTGCTAAAACTCAGACGAGTACCCATGGATTCCTGTAATGACTTCCAAAAGTTTGATGTGAACCTCGGATCACAATCAGATACAATATTTGTCGGCACTCTATGCAATCTCACCACTTCTCTTATGTAGATTTCAGTTAATTTTTCAAGAGAATATTTGATATTAGTAGCAAGAAAATGAGCTGATTTGGTGAGTCGATCTACGATTACCCATATAGTGTCATGACCAGAAGATGTTCTAGGCAATCCTGTAATGAAGTCCATAGAAATGCTGTCCCATTTCCACTCTGGAATATCAAGAGACTGTAGCATCCCGGCTGGTTTCTGATGCTCAATTTTGACTTTCTGACAAGTCAAACAACGAGTTACATGTTCAGTTACATCTCTCTTCATCCTTGGCCACCACTAACCACGTCTTAAGTCATGATACATCTTAGTTGCTCCTGGGTGAATGGTATATTTACTCTGATGAGCCTCCTCAAGTAAGATATTTTTCAATCGAGTATCATTAGGCACACACACTCTACCTTTATATCTTACGACATCATCATCGGTCACATCAAAATGTTCAGCCTTTCTAGCCCCAATCTCTACCCTAATCTTATTCAAATAATCGTCCTTCTGCTGCGAAATTCTGATTTCTTCCTAAAAATTATTCTCAAATTCAGTAATATGTAGAGCAGCCAAACGATTTTCGACTACTTCTACATTTACTGCATGAAAACTACTCCATAATTCATGTTCTCTGACCATCATGTGAGCAGTATGTACAAGCTTCCTGCTCAGAGCGTCGGCGACTACGTTAGCTTTCCCTGGATGATACTTCAACTCAAAGTCATAATCCTTCAAAAACTCAATCCATCTGCGCTGTCTCATGTTGAGCTCCTTTTGATCAAACAAATATTTTAAACTTTTATGATCACTGAAGACCTCAAAAGAAGAACCATAAAGATAGTGCCTCCAAATCTTCAAAGCAAATACCACAGCAGCAAGCTCCAAGTCATGAGTAGGGTAATTTTCCTCATGAGGTCTCAACTGTCGAGAGGCATAAGCCACTACTCGATCCTCCTGCATCAATACACAACCTAAACCTTTCTTAGAAGCATCAGTATATAAGGTATAAGGAGAAGTTGGAACAGGTAAGGTGAGCACCGGTGTGGTGGTCAACCTTTTTTTTAGCTCCTGGAAGGCAACTTCACACTCGTTCGTCCAAATAAATGGAGCATTTTCCTGGTCAACTTAGTCAAGGGCATTGCAATTTGTGAAAAACCCTTAATGAAACGACGATAGTAGCCTGCAAGACCCAAGAAACTCCTAATCTCTGTCACACTTCGAGGTTGCTCCCATTTCATCACTGCCTATCTTACTAAACCCCTTCCTAAACAACATCACATTTGCTCAACTTGGCATAGAGCTTGTGCTCTCTTAATATCTCCAAAACAATTTTAAGATGTCTAGCATGGTCCACCTCATCCTGAGAATAAATAAGTATGTCATCAATAAAGACTACAACAAATTCATCGAGATAAGGCCTGAAGATTCGATTCATATAATCCATGAAGACAGCTGGGGCATTTGTTAACCCAAACGGCATCACTAGGAACTCATAGTGCCCATATCTAGTCCTAAAAGCAGTTTTAGGGATATCCTCTGCTCTAACCCTCAATTGATGATACCCTGATCTTAGATCAATCTTAGAAAACACCGCTGAATTGACTAATTGGTCTAACAAATCATCAATTCGAGGTAAGGGGTACTTGTTCTTGATGGTTACCTTATTCAATTGTCTATAATCAATACACAATCTAAGGCTTCCATCTTTCTTTTTCACAAACAGTACCGGTGACCCCCATGGTGATACACTCGGTCTGATAAACCCCTTCTCTAACAACTCTTCAATTTGTCTCTTCAACTCAGCTAACTCCGATGGAGACATCCTATAGGGTGCCTTAGAAATAGGCCCCGTACCAGGTACGAGTTCAATCGAGAACTCAACCTCTCGTTCTGGAGGCAAACCGATCACTTCAGTAGGAAAGACGTCAGGGAATTCTCTCACTACTGGAATCTGATCTACACCTTCTTCAATCTCTGCCTTGATTGAGAAGAAAATCATAAAAGCTTGACAGCCCTTTCTTATACACTGTTCTACTTGAGCTGCAGACAACAACATAGGACTTTGGGACTCTACAGGGGTTACAGTAAGAGCTGAGAGTGACACACTCTTTTTCTGACAATTAAGTACAGCTCCATTTGCAGACAACCAATCCATCCCCACAATAACATCAATCCCAGACAAAGACAAACAAATGAGGTCTATGGTGGTCTTTCGACCCTCATACTCAACCTCTACATTTAGACATGCCTTAGCAGTCCTTACAGTCAAACCAGCAGGAGTAGAAATCTTCACATCAAAAGGTAAGGTACACACAGGCAATTTACATCTTTTCATACATTCATCAGACACAAAAGAGTGTGTAGCACCCGAATCAAACAAAGCACAAACATCATTATCAAGGATTCGGATTATACCTCGGATAGCATTAGGGTTGTTAGCAGCCTCTGGCCCAGAGAGGGCATACACTCGTGCTGGTACTGTAGGTCTCTGATCATTACCCCTATTCTGATTTTGATAGCAGAATCGGGCAATATGACCAGGCTTCTGGCAGATGTAACAAACCCAACAATCACCAGAATGAAACTTCCCACACTTACTGCATGCTTGATTACTAGCAGCACTAGGAGTAGGATTAAAGGTAGCTGGGCTCCTATAGGACCCTTGACTTCCACTCTGATTCCCTCTGTAGCTCTGGCCCTTATGATAGTAGCCCTTCTTCTTCTGATTTCTAAAGCCTCCAAAGATTTGACTGCTCCTCTTCTCTACTCCACCAATGGGTCTGGTGTGGATAGGGGGCTTCCCATGAGGTTCTTTCCTCCTCTCTCTATCAGCTTCTAATCTAGCCTCTCTCTTCCTCCGAGAAACTATTCGAAGCTTATTGCACATCTCACTGAATGTCTTGATCTCAAAAGGGGCTAACTGTTCCCTTAGATCAGGCCTCGCCTTCTCTAGTAATCGTTCAGCCATCCACTCCGTGTCTTCATGTTTCTGGAGGTAAGTAGAGTATTTAGATAATTCTGAGAATTGTTCAATAAATTCATCCTCATCTAGATCACCCTGACGAAATGCATGAAACTCAGCCTCCTTTTCTGCTCTCAGTGCAGTAGGAAAATAATTCTCGAACAATATGGCTTTAAAATCTTCCCAAGTAAGAGAGGAATCATCCTTCGGTCCTGATGTTTCCCACCATTTCTTAGCACTCTTCTGTAGTAGGAATATTGCCAGCTGCACCTTTTGATTAGAAGTGCACACAACCATACGAAAAATACTCTCCAATTGATCTATCCATTCTTCAACCACCGCTGGCTTAAGATTTCCATCGAAAGTAGGAGGATTAAACTTACGAAAAGTACTCCAGATCTTTGTGATCGTGGATGTCTGTTGCTCAGAGTGGAGACTCACATTCTTCGGACTAGTCTCATGGTGAGAATAGGAAGGTGAGCCTTCATCAGCAGATTGGCTCGCATTAAATACCTTGGTATGGCTTCCTTCTTGTTGGCCATTTCCCTCTCGGTTGGAATTCTCCTTATATTGTCTTAAAGCGGCCAATTCTTCTTCTTGTCTCTTCATGCGGTCACTAAGATTATATAGTAGATCCATCATTTGCCTCATGGTTGGCTCATCCTGCCTTAGTTGTGACTGTATGGGCTCGCCCTGCCCAATTTGTTGCTGTGTGGGCTCCGGTTGTGGCAGTGAAGGTATGTCATTTCCTATTGGCTCTATAGAATCACCGACAATTTCGCCACCTCTCCTAGTTTTGGACACCATCTCTCCCCTCCTAAAGGATGGAAGTCACATAATTAAATTAACACTAATCTCAAGACAAGAAAAATAATGGAGAAGTATTATGATTTACTAATGTATATTGCCAATAAACTAGGTTAATGTATAACAATTTCATAGTTTATAAGAATTTGAAACATGTAGCTCTGATGCCAAAATTTGTAACATACCAAAAAAATTTTTTTTTTAAAAATAATTTAACTCAACCATAGTTGGGTTACAGCCACCCAACACATTTTTATATCAATAATTTCAATATAAAATATTTTATAATTGGCTTCAACTCACACACTATAACATTTCAGATAAATTTTTACCTCCCACATGCCATTAGGCTAAATCACATTTGTCCATCCTTATACTCCCAACAAGTAAACTAAATCACATTTGTCCATCCTTATACTCCCAACAAGTAAAATAAGCAATTTAGTCAATTTTCAACACAAGCCAGTTATTTGGCCTTATAATCATGTCATTTTAACCAATCCAAAGTAAACCAAATATTAAAATTACAGTCATCCAAATTGTACCAAAAATAGAAATAGTTTGAAAGGCATGATTACATTTATATATTCATATAATTGACAATAAACAAAAAGCCCTAGTATTGGCAATATAACACATTATAAATCATAAATTAAATACCCAAAAGAGACAGTGGATCTATACCACTAAGCCTCTGGGACTCCTCCACGTGTCACTCGTGGCTCTTCTCCTGAAAATTGTTAACACATAATGAGACTCAAAAGTCCCAGTAACCAAAGCCAATTTATGATAGTGTATACAAACAGTTAAGTGTGTGCTTACTAAGTGAGAATTAAAAATAATATAATTCCAACAAGTATAAGAAATATTACAATACACACAAACAACCATCCTTATATCCCTCCATTAACCTCGAGCCGTAGCCCTCACTCGGTGCTAAATTACCCGGCCAAAGGTAGATTAGCCCGAGCCCTTACAAGCCACCTATTGAGCTCCAATAGGGGCGTACCACGTGGCACATAAATACAACAACAATAGCAAGTCTCCCAACACCTCCCACAATAATCAAACAAATTCATAATAATATTGCACAATTATACAATATTAAAAAATTCATAATTTTCTCAATAATCACCCAATTAACATGAAGTAACACTAATCACAAATTAAAAGCATGGTTACCTTGTGGCTTTTTCAATAAATTATTCCTTAAAATTTCTCTCTCACCACAATCTTCACCAGTAATACAATCTACAAATAACATATTATTTATAAATATTAGTTTCAATTTTTGAAACTAATAAAATAATTCTAATAATAGAATTAAAAATATAACATAATTCCTAATCTCAATCTTAATACAAATCTATAGTTAATACTATTAAGTATAATTTTTAACTCCTCTTTTAATTATTAATAAACATTAATAATCTAAAAATCAAATTTTAAACTAATTTCTATTATCAAAATTTTCTTTTTATTTTATAAATTCGTACCTAAAATACCCAAAAATTAAAAATTGAGTCTCTAGTTTAGAATCATAATCCTATAACCATAATAATTCATTTTTCATCCCAAATAATCATCTAAACCTTAATAAATCAACATATATTTTCAGATCTAGTCTAGAATTTGATCCATAAGCCATAAATTCAAAGATCATTAACAAATTTATACTCTATAACATTTATTATACTACTGACAACCTCAAAAACTATATTTATTCAACATAAATTCATCCCTCTTCCAGATCTTAAATTTTCTACCACTACAAACTCAGAAACTAAAGAAAAAGGATGACTAAGAAAAAAAAATTTTAGAACACTTACTTAGTCTTGAAAAGTTTAAAATCACACCCTAAATATCCTATTAAAAACTCTTACCTTAAAAATTTAGATATTTCGCACCGGTGACTCGCGTTCTCTCCGCCTCAGCTCGCGCGCAGGAATGAATGAGGAAATGAAGGAAGGTGAGTTTTTATAAAAATTCAGTGGGTCCCACACATTTTTTTTTATTATTTTCTCTCTCTTCTTTCTTTCTTCTTCTTTTTTTTATTATTATATTTTACTGTTGAGGCGGCGGCTGCGTTCACGTTTTCTTCCTTTCTTTCTTGTTTTTACACCTTTTTTTTTATTATAATAATAATAATTTAATAATATTATTTTATTATTATTTTTTTTATTTTTTTTAAAATTATTTTTTTAATTTTCTATTAACCCAAATTAACTATTAAAATTTATATTGGGATATTACAATAGGCCTTTTAATGAGATAGGATGGGCATGAAGATTATGTTTAGCCTGTGACCTAGTTTAACATTGACAAAGTACTCTTGTAAAATGGTTTCTTGCCTAACATGGTCGACAGCAAGCGAAGTATTAAAGTTCATAAGAAGGTAGTGGGATCCTGCTTTGACAGAGAAGAGGGAATCATAATGAAGAAAGTCTTAGTAAGAAGATTAGTAAAAGTAGAGGCAAACGAACTTTGGGCCTTCGATCACCAGAAATGAGTAAGAGAATTTGAATTGAGAGACTCGGATTGTGCCGTAGGGGATTTTTTCCTAACTGGTGCTTGGACTTTGATTGAATAGGGGTGTTGTTGGATTTAATGAGAGAGAATAGTGTTTTTAGTCCAATTTCGATAAGTCCATAGAATATAGCTAGAGTTACCACAATTAACTGCAAAATGATCGACTGGAGAATAGGAGGTGGCACTGGAAGTGAAAAGGATTTGGATAAATAAACATAATAAAAGGAACCACATAGCCATTGCTAGCTAAGTTTTTACTTGAACAACATTTTGCTTGATGATAGACTTGTTTTATAGCTTTATGGAAGGAATAAAGAAAGAGGAAGATACAGAGATTGTTTTTTTAATACAAGGCCATGGAAAACCTATGTGGGAGGGGAGTACAAATCAAATCATATCAGAATCTAAGCAAGATCTGCATCCTGCCGGTGGATGAGTAAAAATGAAGAGGTCTAAATTATCTTAAGAGGTCTGGTGAGCGAGAAAGTCAGCGCATCTGTTCGCTTCTCTAAACGTGTGGTCAAAAGTAATGGTCTAATCCCTCATGACAAAATCCCTAATTTTCTTAATAGTTTTAGAGAGAGGATGATTGCTAGAGAAATTATGCTGAATAATGAAAGGGCTTCCCTAGAGTCAGAATGTATATTGATATTAGAAACCCGCATATTCCAACAAAATTGAAGTCCTTCTAAGATGGCTAAAAGTTCAGCCGTGGTGCTGGATTGATAGCCAAGGTATTTGGAGGAACCCTTGATCCAATTACCTTTATCATCATGTATGATTTTGCCATAAGATGCAGCTCCATTGGAGCTGACAGCTCTATAAACATCAACGCAGATCCAACCAGGATCAGGAGGTCCCCATCGTGCTTCAAATCTTTTTCCATCACAATTAAGAATGTTAACTTTTAATTGAAGCCTTATGTCATTAACAACTTGCTGGGTACTAGAGAAGGCAATATTGATGTCCTGAATGGTATCTTAAAAAAAATCTTTTTGCAACGCGCCTTCCAGATGTTCCAATAGACTTGAGCAAATAGCCTTTGTCAAGGAATCCTTCTTGTATTTAGGTTGTCGATCTTGACTTTCAAATTCTAAGATATTCAATCTTGCATAGAAAGGGAGAAGAAAGTATTAAGTTTTGAAGTTTTCACAAGTTTAATCCAAATATTGCAAGCTTCAATGCAATCTCTCAAAGCATGAATAGAAAAGTCTGGAGAGTTGCAACCAAAGGTACAGATGTGTTGATAATGGACATTCCCTTTGAAATAATTGGAGTTGATTTGGAGTCTGTCCCAAGTAGCTTTTCAAATGTAGTACTTAATTTTTTCATAAGTAAGCCACTTCCAAATCTTAGACCAAATGTTGTTATTAGTCTGATCTTTTTGAGAGACCATGGCTTTGTAAGTAGATATGATAGAGAAGTTCGCATCAAAAGAAGGTCTCCAAAAAAGTACATCATCATCACCGCAAGGATTAGGTGGTTGAACCAGCACAATTTGTCTTATCACCTCAGGATGGAGATGTCGGTTTAAAAGGTTAAAATTGCATTCTCCTGTGGGGTTGTGAAGATCAGAAACTCTTACATGGAAAATATGCTCAACACTAGGAAAAGCATACTTAACAAGAGGTTCTAGAAGAGGGGACCACTTACTATACTAAAATGAAATTTCGTCACCCTTACCAACTTTCCAACCAATATGCACCATGAATTTATCCTAAACTTTACATATACTATTTTAAGTGAAAGACGAGGAGCTTGGTTTATAGACCATAGGAATAGTAGGATTAAGACATTTATATTTTTCTCGAAGGATCCTGACCCAAAGGCAATTAGGTTGAGGGATGAGTCTCTAGCAAAGTTTCATGATAAAGGCAATATTTTGGGACTTGAGCTTTTTAATGCCGAGGACCTATTAGATTTCTCTATAGTAACATAGTCCCAAGAAAGAAGATGGGGTTTTTTGTGTCTGTCAGAAGAGTCCCAAAGAAAGTTTCTAGAGTTTCTCTCAAGTTCAGCCAAGACATTGTTAGGCAATAGCATGGTTTACATAAAGTAGCTAGGAATGGCCGAGAGAACAGAATTAATAAGGATAGCTTTACTAGCGATATTGAGAAAATGACTTCTCTAATTAGAAAGGCGAGAACACGCTTTGTCAAGTAAGGGCGTAAACGTAAGCTTGGATGCTATTTCATGGATAAGAAGGATATCAAGGTATTTGCTAAGGTTTCCCGTGAGAGGTATTCCTAATTCAGAACTGATGTGAGAATAATAGAACTTGGACTTCTCAATGTTAACTTTTTGGCCGAAGCATCACAAAAGTCAAAGAGGCATTGGTGGATAATTATGGCTTGGTTAATAGAAGCTTCTATAAAGAGGAACAAATCATCAACAAAAAATAAATGAGAAATAGGAGGTCTATTCTAACATCCAGGAAAATTTAATCCTGGTTTTTTAACCTAATGAGGGTAATTAGTGAGTTAATAAGTATGTGGCCAGAGAGGCTTAACTTGGTGTATTTGTGGTGATTTCAATCCTAGAAGTGGTTTCGAATCAATGGCGGGCCACCCGAGCAAGGAAAGAGGAAGAAAAAGTGAAGAATTGTCCTTTGTGCCACATGCTGCAATGCGTGGTCAATCTGCCGTGGCGCACAGAGATAAATTTGAAAGTAACGGGCCCCTCTGTGTCACGTGCAGTGGCGGAGGGCAGCATGCACCACGACGCACGGCTAAAAATCTGATATATCAGATTTGTATCTATAACATCCCAAAAATTAACCTAAGGTTAATTAAGTTAATTTAGAGCAAATGAGTAATTTTGGAGGAATATTTAGATATAAATAATTTTAGAAGAAGATTATTATTGGATTTAATTTAGATTAAATCCTAAGTTATGATTTTATAGTAAATAAAAATAGTAATGATAATATTATTAAAAAAAAGAAGAAGGAAAAGGAACCAAAAAAATTGAAGAGGGGGCAGGGAAGTAATTTTTTCTTTTGTGTGGGTGTTGAGGGGTAAATAATGCAAAAAAAAACAGAGAAAAGGGAGGCGGATGAATTTCGTTCACGTGTGTGCATTGAAGAAGACAAAAGAAAGAGAAAGAGGCATGAATTAGCATGGGACCCACACGATTTTTAAAAGCCAACAAAGCCTTTTTGGCTTTTCATTTCCTTTCTCTTCCTTTTTGTTCAGTGTCCGCGCACAGAGAGCGAGCGAGCGAGAGAGCGAGCCACAACGCAACTGGAGCTGATTTAGAAGGTGAAGCTTCATAGTAGGATACTTCATATGAGATTTTAAGTATTCTAAGACTAGGTAAGTCTTCTAAATATTTTCTTAGTCATTTTTTTCCCTGAGACTATAGATTCTGATATTTTGAAAAACCTAGGGTTTGAAAGAGGAATGAATTTTTGATGAGTAAATCTAGTTGTTGAGGTTGTTGGTAGTGTAATAAATATTCTAAAGTATTATTTTGTTGATAGAATTAGAATTTGAGGCATTTGAGTTTATCCCTAAATCCCTATGGGTAGATTTTTGGTTAAGTCTGACAAATATAAATTGATTTTTTGATATTTAGATGATTATTTGAGATGAGAAATAAATTATTATGGCTATAGAATAATGATTCTAGGCTTGAAATCAAGTTTGCAATTTTTGGGTATTTTTATGTGCGAATTTTTTGGAATAAAAAGGGAAATTTTGATATTAGAAAATTATTTGAATGAAATTATTGTGAAGGAGACTATTGAACTAAGTGGATAGGCTCAAATACATGAAATTAAATTTTCAAACTCAAGAGGCTAAGACTAAGGTCTTAAAAAAATGAAATAAAATAAAATAAATACTTAGGTGTTAGAGTATGAGTGAAAATTGTGTTAATAATATTATTGACACATTGGGATATGATCAATTGTAAATTAATTTTCTTTTGACACCATTCAAGCTTTAGAAAGCTTTAGAAGTGTTGTAACTTGAGGGGTAACCTTTGACCTCTCAAAGGTTGAGGTAACTGAGGGAAATCTATTTTATGCATTTGTATGTTACTTAATTAATTATGTTAGTGAAATAAAAGAATATATATATGTCTAAATTTTAAAATGGTTGTTTGTAATGCATGTGGCTTTGTTGAGACTCTATGACTTGTGACCAAGTTAATTGTGACTTGGTGTGAGTAATGAGATTGATGGTTGATGATTAAGTGTACACTCTTGGTTATAAGTTGTGGATTATGCACAGTGATGAATTGTATGAGCATGTTGAGTTTTATATGATGCTAATGTGGTTTTATGTGATAATATAAAAATTGATGCAAGAGGCATGATTGAAATATGATGATTCTTAATGTTTGTTGAGCAAGAAAGTTGATGAGCATGTGGGATAATTGTGAATTATATATATGAGTTTTTGAAATACATTTTCTCATGAGCATTATCATATAGCGGGAGTTCGCCTTAGTGAAGGAGTTAGCGGTTATGCAAAATCCATATGGTACTTGACTATTAACCAATAATCCTAGGGGTTATAGCTGCTACTTACCATGCAAGGTACTGTAGCATTGTTCCTATTAAGGGACTTGACCTTGCTAGCCTATCTAGAGTTTTGGGTAGAGCTAATTTTGGGTATGACACCCCATAGTGTGTGATTTGGGGAAAACCGTGTTCATAAGTGTGTAAGGTAACCCTGGCTCGCTAGCCCCTCATGATATGATTAAGGCCTTGGGTAGTCTCACCACATGGATGATTCCTTCTGGGTGTTGGCCCATAAATTTCATGTCAGAGGAAATAAGGGGGGATATAAGGGAGAGATTGATCATGCATATTATTATTATCATGCCATTTGAGTGATTGATGGCTATGTTGAGAATATGATTATAATTGTGGAAATGAGAACATGTAGTAATTATGCGAATAATGTATATAAGGCCATTTGTGCAAACTTTGTACTTGACTTTATTCTTGACATTATTCACATGAGTTAAGTGGTAATGTCATGTTATTAATGTGATTGTTTACATGGTCACCTTGATAAATTTATTAGCCACTTGCATTCATGATTAGTTATCATGCATTTGTATAACTTAGATGTATCTTGATTACTGAGTGGTTGTACTCACCCCTCTCTTTTAATAGATTACAGGAGCTAGCTCATCTCAGAAGAACAGAGGAAAGGAGCATTAGGCCAAGTGATAGTAATCACTTCTGTAGGCCTTTCTCTTTTTATTTTGATATGTGTATTTAATTTATGATATTGCCAACTAGGATAATATATTCTTGATCCACTTGCATTATGGGTTTTGTGTCGGGGGAAATGTATTTTGGGCCCTTGGGAATGTGGTTTGATGCTTGTGCTACATTAACGGGCCAAAATATTTGTGCAAGTGGAAATAGTTAATATCTACTTAATTTCAGAACTTGAATGTTGTTACGGTCTCCCCTTGTGTTTTTTATGTTCAGAGGTGAGCAGTTGATATTATTCATATGTAAATGAAAAGGAAAATTCATGCATATGATGGGCTATTGATGAATAGATGATATATAGAGTATGATGACTAGGTAATAGTCATTGTGATAAATGTGATTGAGACCTTGGCCCCCCACTGCCAGTTATGGAAGGGTTTGAGTAGCCAAGTGTTATGTTGTAAATATGTATATATGTATTATGGAGTAAGGCATAGAGAGAAAATAAAGGGGGAAGCTTTTCTTCCATGTTGATGTATTTCCTTTATCATGCTTCTGCATATGTCTAATTGAATGATATGAGTTCTTAAAATATTTTAAAGATTTGGGATCCCTTTGTGTTGAATCGTTTGTGAAAATACATGTTAAGAATTTATTTAGGTTAATCTCTTATAGGATAATCCTTTTGGGTTAGTCCTTAATTTACTATAGTTAGTCTGATGATTAAGTCCTAATTTAGGACACCCCTTTACAAAGTAGTATCAGGTTCTCGAGTTTCGAGAACTGGACTGTGGTTGGTGTGTGACTTATTACATGATTGTGTACTTATGTTGTGCTTGCATTTGCATATAGAGTTGGCAATTATCATTATACACATTTCTTTTCCTCTGTGAGCTAGCACTAACTGTTTTTCATTTGTGGTATTACTTCCATCCTTAGAAGGGGAGAATATAGTGCTAACCAGGAACACTGCAACTAATAATTCGGCAATTCCACCAAGACTAGAGGATCAAGTGGTGGTGCAAGATGAAACAGCACCGGCTCAAGTCCAACAAGGACAGGTGGTGCCAGAGTTACTAAACCCGACTGAGCAAGTTCAAGTCTTGACTCAAGCAGGACCTTCTATCCAAGCTCCAGTTCAACCTATTCCTACAACTGGTAATAACAATGATATAGCCCTCCTTACTTCAATATTGATAGATATCCAGAAGAGAATGGATTTTTATGACCAAGTTATATTAGGGAAGGCTGCTGAGGGAAATAGTAAAGTCGTTGTGAAAGCTGCTGGTAACCCTAAGGAGAAGCAAGGGGAAGTGAATTTAGAAGTCAACAATCAACAAGAGGAAGAGTCCTCTAAGGATTTTGAACAGAGTGATCAAAGTAACTTTGTGCGGCAGAGAAAAAGGAAAAATAAAGGCAAAAAGAAAGTAGAAGAGGTTACCATGCATTCAAGAGGTTTGCAAGATTGAGCCCTCCATCATTTAAGGGTTCTATGGTAGACCGAGCTGGCAAGAAATGGATTGATGAATTAGAGTCCATTTTCTCTGTGATGACCTGTACTACTGAACAACGGGTCCAGTTGGCTACTTTTAAGCTTAAAGATGCGGCAAAACAATGGTGGGAAAGTGTTAAGCCTATTGATGGATCTGAATTGACCTGGGAGCAATTTAAGAAGAGGTTCTTTGCCTACTACTTCCTGCCAACTGTAAGGGCAACAAAAGAAACTGAGTTCCATAACTTAAGACAAGGTAATATGGATGTTGAGGAGTTCATAGCCAAATTCAATGAGCTCTCTAAATATTCCTTGTACTTGAAAAGTCATGCTGATGAAGAATGGAAGTGTGAGCAATTCCTTGATAAGATGAGGCCTGAGTATAGCAAGCAACTAACGGCTCATGATATTAATTCATTTAAAGTCATGTGTAACAAGTTCAGGGCTGTTGATAGAAGAAGCCAGATAAATGACGGTAACCGGCCAGATGGCCAAGGCCGATATTCCTCTTTTATGGGCCCCACTGAGGGTGTGAGCAAGAAGTCAACTTATAGCTTGGGATTCTCTAAGGGTTACAGTGGAGGTGGAGGAAGCAGTAAGAAGAATTTCTCCAAGGGATCATAATCTAAAGGATCCCAATCCAAGAGCTTCCATTCCAAGAGCTTCGGAGGCTAGAGCTAAGCTTCAAGGCAAGACCCAACTCCATCTGTCATGGGACCACCAGTGGTACGACCGCATTGTGATAAGTGTGGAAGATTCCACGTCGGAGACTGTTGGGCATGCTACAAATGTAACAAGATGGGTCATATCGCCCGTAATTGCCCAGAGGCTGTGACTGATGGGAGATCTATTGTTCCTGCTCATGTGTTCGCGATGTCTAAAGAGGAAGCAGAAGCTTCTCCAAAATTGATCAAAGGTATGATTGTCCTTAATGACAAACAAGGTGAAGCATTATTTGATTCAGGTGCTACGCATTCTTTCATTGCACTAGATTGTATGACTAGACTTAAAATGTTTGTGTGTGAAATAGATGTTGTTATGAATGTTTCTACACCGACTGGGGCCTCTGCTAGGACCAGTCGTGTGTGCTCTAATGTTAATTTGAAGTTTGGTGATAGGGTTACAATTATTGACTTAATTTGTTTGCTTTTATTGGGCATTGATATGATTGTGGGAATGGACTAGTTGTCAACTAATGGAGCGACTTTAGACTATAACAAGAAGATAGTCCTATTGCCAGTGGATACTGCTACTTCTGTAGTCCCTAAAAAGTCTGTGCATACCATTATGGTGGACACAGAAATGCTTAAGTTCTTGTCTGCTATGGAAGTCAAGAAGTCAGATCAAGAAGGATGCCAAATGTTCATGGTGTTCTGTTTAGTGCAAGGAGACAAAGAACAAAAGATTGATCAGATAAAAGTTGTGAAAGAATTTCTAAATGTTTTTGCAGAAGATGTGAATGGTTTGCCACCAGAGAGAGAAGTTGAATTCTCAATTGATTTAGCTCCGGGTACCAAGCCAATCTCAAAGGCTCTGTATCGAATGGCCCCTGCAGAATTAGAAGAGTTAAAGAAGCAACTAGAAGACTTGTTAGCTAAGGGCTTCATAAGACCGAGTGTATCACCATAAGGATCACTGGTTCTCTTTGTGAAAAAGAAAGATGGGAGTATGTGATTGTGTATCGACTACCGCCAGCTTAATAAGGTGACAATCAAAAACAAATATCCGTTGCCATGGATTGATGATCTCTTAGATCAATTGGCTGGAGCGGTGGTATTCTCAAAGATTGACTTGAGGTCTGGGTATCATCAGTTGAGGGTAAAGGTAGAGGATGTACCTAAGACGGCTTTCAAAATAAGGTATGGGCACTATGAATTCCTAGTTATGCCATTTGGGCTAACAAATGCACCGGCGATATTCATGGACTATATGAATAGAATCTTCAGGCCTTACCTAGATAAGTTTGTTATTGTCTTTATTGATGATATTCTGATCTACTCTAAGAGTGAAACAGAGCATAAAGAGCATTTGAGATTAATGCTATAGATTCTGAAAGGGAGGCAACTTTATGCCAAGTTGAGTAAATGTGAGTTTTGGCTTAATGAAGTGAAGTTTCTAGGGCATGTTGTTTTTTAGGAAGGTATTGCAGTTGATCCTCACAAGGTCGATGCGGTGTTGAAATGGGAACGATCGACCTCAGTATTAGAAATCAAAAGTTTCTTGGGGTTGGCCGGCTATTACAGGAGGTTTATTGAAGGGTTTTCTCAAATAGCATCGGCATTGACTAAATTGACCAGGAAAGACAAACCTTTTTTGTGGACCAAAGAGTGTGAAGAGGCTTTTATCACCTTGAGAAAGAAGTTGATCACTGCACCAGTCTTAACTATCCCTGATCCTAAGCAATCATTTGATGTTTATATGGATGAATTGTTTAAGGGTCTTGGATGTGTTCTTATGCAAGATGGCAAAGTTGTAGCCTATGCATCGAGACAATTGAGGCCTCATGAAATGAACTACCCTACTCACGATCTAGAGCTAGCAGCTATTGTCTTTGCTCTTAAGATCTAGAGACACTACCTCTATGGTGCACAATTTAAAGTGTTTAGTGATCATAAAAGTCTTAAATATTTGGTAGACCAGAAGGAGCTGAATATGAGGCAAAGAAGATGGATGGAATTCTTAAAGGACTATGAGTTTGAACTGAAGTACTATCCGGGGAAGGCCAATGTAGTGGCCGATGCCTTGAGCAGGAAGACCGTGCATGTAGCTTGTATGATGATTCATGAACAGAAGTTATTGGAAGATTTCTCTAGTTTTCCACAAAATATCCCAGATTATGCTATGTTCAATTTGAACACTATGGTGCTTACAATCGAATTTTGGGATAAGTTACGAGTAGCTCAATTTGAAGATCCATACTTGTTAGAAGTTCGAAAGAACTTAGATGAGAAGATGACTGGCACATATTTCACTTTTGATGATAATGGTCTTGTAGTCTACAATAGGAGGGTTTGTGTTCCTGTTGTGAAAGAGTTGAAGGACACAATTCTTACCGAAGCTCATAGAAGCAAATTCACCATCCACCCCGGTGTAACCAAGATGTATCAAGACATGAAGCGGTATTGGTGGTGGCGTGGTCTGAAGCGTGATGTGACGAAGTATGTGAGCAAGTGTTTGACTTGTCAGAGGGTGAAAATAGAGCATCAAAGGCCTAGCGGTTTATTACAGCTGTTGGAAATTCTAACTTTGAAGTAGGAAAGCATTTCCATGGAATTTATTATGGGTTTTCCTAAAACATAGGTAGGGTACGATGCAATATGGGTCATTGTTGATAGATTGACGAAGTTAGCCCATTTTCTACCTATCAGAGAAGGTTATACCATGGATAAGTTCACGGAACTGTATATCCAAGAGATTGTGCAATTACATGGAGTGCCTAAGGATGTGGTTTCAGATCGTGATCCAAGGTTCACCTCAAACTTTTAGAAGGTAATGAATGATGCTATGGATACTCAATTAAACTTCAATACAACATATCATCCACAGACCGATGGTCAAACTGAAAGAACAAATCAAACACTTGAAGATATGTTACGAGCATATGCACTTGAGTAGATAGGTAGTTGGGACAAGCATCTACCATTAGCGAAATTTTCCTACAACAACAGTTATCATTCAAGCATTCAGATGGCTCCATGTGAGGTGTTGTATGGTAGAAAGTGTAGATCTCCACTTTGTTGGACCGAGTTGAGTGAAAGAAGCATTATGGGTCCAGATATTGTTGATCAAACCACTCAAAAGATTGAGACAATCTGACAAAAATTGTTGACTGCTCAGAGTCGATAGAAGAGCTATGCAAATAGGCGACAAAGACCTTTGACTTTTGAGGTAGGCGATATGTGTTTTTGAAAGTATCACCGATGACAGGCATTGGAACGTCAATAAAAGCCAGGAAATTGACTCCTAGATTCATAGGTCCTTTTCGAATCCTACAAAAAATTGGGACTTTGGCCTATTGAATTGCCTTGCCACCTCATTTGTCAGGAGTTCATGATGTATTTCATGTCTCTCAATTAAAGAAATATCAACCCGATCCGTCTCATATAATAGAACCTAAAGAGATTGAGCTAAGGGAGAACATGACCTATCGAGTGGAACCAGAAAGAATTATGGATGTAAGGGAGAAGCAATTGAGAAATAAGACCATTCGACTCGTGAAGGTATTCTGGAAAGGAATGGCCCCTAGTAATGCAACTTGGGAAACCGAGGAGAAGATGAAACATTCCTATCCTCATTTGTTTGAGTAAGATATGTTCCTTATGATTATTCAAATTTTGGGGACAAAATTCCTATTAGGAGGGGAGAGTTGTAACATCCCAAAAATTAACCTAAGGTTAATTAAGTTAATTTAAAGCAAATGAGTAATTTTAGAGGAATATTTAGATATAAATAATTTTAGAAGAAGATTATTATTGGATTTAATTTAGATTAAATCCTAAGTTATGATTTTATAGTAAATAGAAATAGTAATGATAATATTATTAAAAAAAAGAAGAAGGAAAAGGAACAAAAAAAATTGAAGAGGGGGGAGGGAAGTAATTTTTGCTTTTGTGTGGGTGTTGAGGTGTAAATAATGCAAAAAAAAAATAGAGAAAAGGGAGGCGAATGAATTTCGTTCACGTGCGTGCATTGAAGAAGACAAAAGAAAGAGAGAGAGGCGTGAATTAGCATGGGACCCACATGATTTTTAAAAGCCAACAAAGCCTTTTTGGCTTTTCATTTCCTTCCTCTTCCTTTTCGTTCAGCGTCCGCGCACAGAGAGTGAGCGAGCGAGAGAGTGAGCCACAACGCAACTGGAGCTGATTTAGAAGGTGAAGCTCCATAATAGAATACTTCATATGAGATTTTAAGTATTCTAAGACTATTTAAGTCTTCTAAATATTTTCTTAGTCATTTTTTCCCCTGAGACTGTAGATTCTAAGATTTTGAAAAACCTAGGGTTTGAAAGAGGGATGAATTTTTGATGAGTAAATCTGGTTGTTGAGGTTGTTAGTAGTGTAATAAATATTCTAGAGTATTATTTTGTTGATAGAATTGAAATTTGAGGCATTTGAGTTTATCCCTAGATCCCTATGGGTCGATTTTTGGTTAAATCTGACAAATATAAATTGATTTTTTGATATTTAGATGATTATTTGATATGAGAAATAAATTATTATGGCTATAGAATAATGATTCTAGGCTTGAAATTAAGTTTGCATTTTTTGGGTATTTTTATGTGCGAATTTTTTGGAATAAAAAGGGAAATTTTGATATTAGAAAATTATTTGAATGAAATTATTGTGAAGGAGACTATTGAACCAAGTAGATAGGTTCAAATACATGAAATTAAATTTTAGAACTCAAGAGGCTAAGACTAAGGTCTTAAAAAAATGAAATAAAATAAAATAAATACTTAGGTGTTAGAGTATGAGTGAAAATTGTGTTAATAATATTATTGACACATTAGGATATGATCAATTGTAGATTAATTTTCTTTTGACACCATTCAAGCTTTGGAAAGCATTGGAAGTGTTGTAACTTGAGGGGTAACCTTTGACCTCTCAAGGGTTGAGGTAACCGAG